TCTTTCCCACACATGTCCAGGATCAAATTCAATTTGGCCTCAGCATAAGAACAGTCAGAATAATGTGATCAAATTTTTTAAAATTTATTTTTGATGATTGTTCTCCTCATTACCTTCAGAATTGAAAATACAAACATTAGAAAGGTTTTCACTACTGTCATCAAACAACCAATGACATCACTAAAGCTCTTTTTGTAGGTATGGTTCACATTTCCTATTTCTATGCCATTTGAAAGTTTATCTGAGTGTTTGCAGGATAAAAATACCTCAACTATTAGCTGTGCTTGAACGTCTGGATGAGATTCATTTGTGTTTTCCTTTTTGATGGTGATCTGACTTGTCACCAGTTAAACCAGAATTACAGAGCTATTATCCACTGAAATAAGTGAGATTCACAAACATGTCTGACAGAGCAGAAGGACTGAAAAGTATTAGAGCTTTATCTCAAGCGAACTGAGTTAGTAATCAAATGCAGACTGAAAGTCAAAGTAAAATGTAGGCAATTCAATTTTCCCTAAGTTTTTAATATAGAGCATAAAAGGGAAAAAATATCATACTTTGTGATTACATCACACATTCTTTTTTTATGCTTTTAAAGGTGAATTACTTAATATATCTATAGGCCTTTTGTGCATTAAATCAAGGAAGACATTAGATACTTAACATTTATAAAATAAGATAAACCAAAAGAGAATTGTTTTCCAAATGAAGAAACTTTTGCTGATATTGATTCAGGGTCAGAGATATCAAGCTTTTGAAACTTAGCTAACTTCTGGAGAGCTTGTTACACAAGCTCTAAATAATTTCCCTTTAGTTTCTGTCTGAGAGGCATAGAGGTCCAATATATGGCAGAATAGAAGCATCTGGTTAAACTAAGTCACAAATTTTGCGTGCAGCCTGCCTTGACAGTTTTTCCTAAACCTATTTTGCTTATCTTCTCTGCTAGTCTTTTATTCTGCTGGAGTCTCTTCATTAGTTGTCAATTTTCTAATCCTATTTTACACAAGCAGCTAGAAGCAAAATAGCAGACAGCAGCAGCAAAATCCATGGTTAACAAGTTTATAGCATGAGGCCCACAGTGGCCCTGTTGCACAAAGGTTTTTCTGCCCTTCAGAGTGGGGCTTTCTTGTACATTCATAGTGCTATTTTAAGCATTTTTCTGCAAGAGGATGTTAAAGACAGAATGGATTTTTTTTCTGGAGGTGGTCGCTTACAAAGGGAAAAGTAAAGTAATCGATAGAGTTGTCTTCCATACTTCAATGATGACAACAAGCACACCTAGATCTTAATCTAAGTCTTAATGTTTTCATTTTATAATAAATTCATTAATTTTGTCAATACTTGATCCTTTTGTACAAAACACGATACATAATCCTCTGTACTGCTGTTCCAAGTATTTTTATACAGGAATACAAAAATACATATTTGTTATCCTAGTTAGGTGTTCCTAAAAAAATCCAGTCGCGTCCTGAGGCTGCATCGAAATATTTCATCTTCTTGAATTTACAAGCAAAGAATATGTTCTTCTCCTGGCAGGCTGTCTAACCTACCTCTTTCTCATCCATTTTGAAAAACATTCACCCTAGGCAAAATGTTCACGGTGACGTAATGGCTGTCTCTGAAAATACTATGCTTGGAGGTGGCATCCTTTGGAACGACCTATGAAAAATGTCAGCATCTATTACAAGCCACCTACCATATTTGAAAGATATTTCCCCAAGTTTGTCTAAAGCACTTTGTGTAGAGGTTTTATGCTGCTGTTTTCCATCATCATCTATATTTTAAAAAATTGTTGGCAAATTTAAGAATTATGAATTCAATTCAGCCAGCCTTGGACACTGAAATAATTTATTTTTTCAAATGACAGTTATACCTGCAACTGGAAAGACTTCTCCACAACAGTCTTTCACTTCATGTGATATTCTGATATTCAAGGAGCTTCTTTAATATATGAATATATAGGTTAGTCTCTTCCCCACTTTAATACTTAAGATCTATTTTAAAATTATTAGAAAAGCTATAAATTGTGTTGCTGAATTTTAGCATGCTAACTCTTAAACGAAACCTAAACTGAAATTCTGTTTAGACTCTATATTGCACATCCACTCTAATTTTAAATATGAGACTGCCTTATGCTGTGATATCAACACTGATGCCCACTGTGTGCTATTGCTAAAGTAAACGTAGCTTTGCTAACAGTGAGAGATTTAAAATATCAGCAAAAGTATAGAAGTATGCCCTGAACCTAATCAGATAAATTCTGATTTATCCACTATGTCCTGTAGCTTGCCCTACTTTATATTTTATCCTTTTATAAACAATAGCTCTCAAACTTTAACTTTAGTTGCTAATAACCTGGACTGTGCTTGAACCAGTAGCTTGAAGGTGCATATCCTATGACCTCTCCTTTGCACTAGCCAGTCACCTCAAGGCAAAGAACTGGTAAGACGTCACCCCCGATGACTCGCTGCCGTCATGTCAAGCAGATGTTTCATGAGGATGAAAGTTTGAGAAGCGTTACCAGTGCAACAGAGTAATATCTTCCAGGGGTTATGTTTTACAGAAGTTTGGTGCCATAGGAACCATAAACCGTAGCTGAACAGGTCAGTCAGCACGTATTTCTGTGCTGTAATCTGCAGCTACAACTGTTTCTGTTCACTCATTAGGACTCTTTGGTGTCAGTGTTCTATAAATCAGGCTGCTAGTTGACAAGGTGTGCACGTGCAGCCTAGACTTTTGTTCCTGTTGCTACTGTCACTTCAGACAGCGAGGAAAATCTTCCTTGCAAGCCAGTCAGTGCATCGTGATAGCAATGATTCTGTCAAAGCACTGAAAATAATCTATGAGGAGGTAAAAAAACCCTGTTGGCTGCAAAGTCATGATGATTTAAAGTCTACAGCAGGGAACAAACTCATCTGTCTTTCAAGTTGCACCAAGGATTAATATGGGCCAGTAAATACATTTCTGAAGGAATGGGACTTAAATTATTGGACATTTGTAAATCTATTCCTTTTTTTTTTCATTATTTCCAAATAGGCAGTAGGTCAAGATTGAACTATTTTGATAACTGCTCTTTTTTTGTTTGAAAACTGTGCAAAATGAGTGGAGCAATTTAAGGTAAAGCAAATCAGAAGTTACCTAGGAAGAGTGTTAAAGTACATGTGGAAACTTAAAAAG